TKSWCCCCAGAATGGAAAAGGAGCTAGARCCTTAAGGTTCTTTTTTTTTAAAAGGAGACGGACTGACGCTCCCCATAATGGAAAAGGAGCCAGAATCCAAAGGTTCTGTTCAAATTGAAAAAAAAAAAAAAAAAAAAATTGCAGTCGGAGAACTCGGCACTTTTTCTGAGAACATGCTGGCCTTCTGATCTGATTGCTGAGAATTCCGATTCTGAGTCTGTTTCCTTGGTTTTATAATATATATGTACCATTGTACTCCATGTACTTGCTTGCTGAGTTCTGAGTCCAAGTCTGAGTCCAGGTGCTAACACTGTTGGCCGTGTTGTGTGCCTGTGCCTCGGACAAGGACAGAATAGGGGTAGGATCAGGGACAAGGCAGAAAGTTAGCCATAGGGACAAAATGGGGTTAGAACGACGGCCACTGACATAAGTAGAATTTGTTCAGGACCTGGTAGTGATTCTCCAGCCAGTCGGCTAGGCCTAGGAGGGTCCGGTAGCTTTCCAGTAGGTCATGATGACCAGGCCCAAATGTAGATAGCTCATAGGGGTAGATTCGGGTCTTGCAGGGAGAGAACAATCTGCTATGATGTTCCAGGAGCTTCATCCAGTAGGTCTAGTGCACCCAAGGGAGGCCGATAGAGGCAGGTAGTGAACGGCCAAGAGGTATGGGTGTCAGGGCGGCCAAGCGTATATCATTCGGTGCCATAAGTAGTCTGCTCATTCACCATGCGGTCATGCTGCTGCTCGCCCAGAGTGAGAGCGACACGGAGCACTTAATGGTGAAGGAGAAGCTGAGGGTTAGGAAGGTGGCCAACATTACTGTGGAGTAGTAGCAGTGGGAGGTAGGAGAACCCTTAGTCTATGGAGGTAGAGGGAGATGACCTCCCAAACAGGCAATGTAGGTAGGTAGAGGAAGGAGGAAGAATGTGGGCACTGACAAGGAGACTTACCTTTGGCCATGGTGGACCTAGATCTTCATCTTCCTGGTTGGCGCTGCATCAAGAAGGCCCCTGCGGTTGGACATGGACTTCATCTGGGTGTAGCTATGGTGTTGTCCTCTGAACATCTGTGCTAGAAATGGATGAACCACCATAGGCAGTAGCCATGCCTAGTCGAGAAGAGAGGAGGAGTGACCTAAAGGAGAGCTCTTTCTACACTGGGAGAAAAGGGGCTCATTCGAACAGTGATTCTTGTTTAGTCGTTCGTTATTAATAAATTGGTGGAGGAGATGAAGAGAGGGAGATGATGGTGGAGAGTGAAGGAGGGAGATGACATTGGTTCCAGTTTGTGTTCTTCTTCGTCTACTACTACACTCTTCTCCTCTTCTGAACTCATTCCTCCTCCTATTTGAGCTGCAATGCATGGCATTGTCTCCAATTTGGGATTTGCAACATCAAACGGACAGGACCATAGCACCTCCATGTTGCATGCTTTCGCACAATGAGATCTGGGAGCAATTCAATCCCCACCTACCTGGGGGCAAGCTGCAGCACAGTCCGAATGGAGGCCAAAGCCAAGTATGGAGGACACTTCCACCTTGTCAAACACTTGCAACCTGAATGCCAAAGCAAGTACCACAATAAGAGAATTCCACGAGACAACAAATGGATGTAAATTCCCCGGCCCTTTGTCAACAACTTGCAATCCAAATGCCAAAGCGATGACTGACAAGAAGAAGCAGCATGGACCACAATAAGACAACAAATAAATGTAAATCGCCCGGTGAATGGGCGGTACTCAAAGACTCTGAAACATCACTCCAAGCCTTTTATTATGAAGACATAGACGACGGCAGACCCAGGTGGCTTCGCTTCTCATCTCACGAAATAAAGGAACCAGGAACAGACTTCAATAATGGGTCCAAGAAACCAGAACTTCAAGAACTAATTAGAAGGTATTTGCTAAGAAAGATAAGAGTTGCGGAACAAGAGTCTCTAACCATCTACCTGCTGACCCTGTTACAGTGCCTGAAAGTAGACCCAGCAGAATGGGCTTGGAATCTCAGACAAGGAAGACTAAGACTGAGTCGGAGAACCAACCTACTGGATTATACCACGAGATTAGGGTGCAGACTGAGGAAAAGGCAAGAACCACCCGACACAGTAATAGCTGAACGATGGTGGAAACACCTAGAAGTGGATCCCAAACATTTCATGGACATTCCATGGGAAAAACTGACTGTACTCCGACCACCGGGCTTGGGGAGCATCCAGTGGCTAATCTGGTATATCACAGTCCCAGCAAACGTATGGCTCAATCCCAGAAGAAGAATGCAAGACAGAAATGTTCTGAACGAGCAATGCGCCAACTGCCGAGAAGAAACGAAGAGGACATCCCTAATTGCTTCCTACTCTGCCCAAGAGTGAAACAACTATGGAAGCTGGCTGAAGCTGTCTGGCGGAGAGTCACAGATAAAGCACTCCCAGATGACCCCCTATTTTGGCTGTTGGGATAGGAGGTGCCGAACTTTTGGTCCTTCACCGAAACTCTTCTCTGTGGGAGCTTACAAAAAGCCCTCTTATGGAACATCTGAAAGAAAACGGTGTCAGGAAACCCTGGGCAAGAAACCAAGGCACACAAGAGAGGCTTGGCCCTTCATCCAAATGCAGATAGAAACGGACTACAACATACAATGGAAAAGAACCGAGCTACAAAAACAGACTAAGTTTTGAAGACCTAATGATGGCCAACGGAAGGATAGGAGAAATCAAAGTAAAGGACATCATATTCACATTATGGGATGACGCCCAGCTTGCACAGGAAGACACAGATAACACCTGCAACATTACAGAAGAAGAAGAGATTACCCTTTCCCAACTCTAAATAGACAATCACAAGATACCCTACCCGAAAGGCATGCCTGAAGCACTGAGAAAAAACCGCAAACCCGCCACAGACAAAGCATCAGTCGCTGATATCCGGATGGCGTTGAACCCTTTTGAGCTGCTCCATCAAAAGAGCGAGCTCTGAGAGTTCAGCGCCTTCAGATATTTTGAAAAGAAAAGGGAAGAGGGAACTGCTGAACTCTGAGTTAGAAACCGAAAAAATTCTGGAGAAATATGGTCCCCAAGAGATGAAAATCTGCTGCAGGCAAAGAAAGGAGAACCAAAATGTAAAATGCATCATCAGGAAAGGGAGATGAAAGAAGGATGCTGACCAAGGAAATGTAGTGGTAGTCCAAACAGAACGACTCGACTCTTTGGTGCTGCCCACAGTGAGGGATGGTCGAGGCAGCTTGGAGGTGAGCTTGCCATTTGAGATGGTGCCCTCCATAGCTATGGAGGTGAAAGAGATGAAAGACGGAGAACGTATGACTATGGTGGTTAAGGTTCGAGTCTACATTGGGCTTGAGGACGATGTTGGAGACAGCAGTAGAATAAGGTAAGGGGAGCGAGAGGGAATTTGATTGAAGTCCCACCTTTTGCTGTGGTGGACTTCAATTGTTCTCTCCAATGTGGGGCATGGCATCAGGGAGGTCCTTTGAGGGCTCGTTCAAGTTGAGGCTGAAAGTGTTGATTTTCTCGTGTTGTCATCTATAAATCATGCTGAGTGATGCTAGCTTGAATAGTGCCATAAGGAGGGAGGTTGGAGGGATTTGAGGTCAAGGAGAGTATATTCTCAAGATTATTGCCAGGGAGATTCAGCAAACATTGATTGTTCACTCAATAGCATATTCTTTCTTGTTGCGGACCAATAAAAGAAGCGGATGAGATATGAGAGTGATGGTATGGTAGGGCGATGAGAGAGAGTTGACATTGAGCATGTTATTGTTTTGTTTGTCTTATTTTCTCACTGTTTCCCCCCTCTCTTCTCTCCTCATCCCCATCTGAACATGGAAATTTGCGTATTTGCCTCAAGCCTTTGCATCGTGATTCAAACTAGAATCACAGCAGCAACTTCAATGGAATGCATTACATTTCAGTTTCAACCCATGGCAACAGTAAGGCCCACTCCTGAAAGAAAATCATGAAAAATATTACTCACCGCTCACTGGTTAGCTGAACTGAGTGCTCGGGATGAACATGGAGCTTTGCAAGGCACATTTCGATTGTGAAACACAGAGAAAAGCTTTCCGATGATGGAGAAGATCCATCCTTTTTGCACCCTTCATATTTCCTCATCCACCGCTCACAATCACTCAGCTTGCGCTTCACTGAGCTGTCTGAGCTGAAAAAGAAAATTGTGTTAGTGTCAATCACTTTTTCCCCCACAAATATACAGGGCCTTATGGTCCTGGCTCCAGTCTATTCTCGGGAGGAATAGTCCGTTTTTTCCCCCCACTGGCAAGTCGAAGTAAGCACAAACCTTATACACAAACACTTCTTTCCATTATGCAAGGAATATGAGTGGGGACGATATACAGAAAGCCAAGTTGCGAAATCACACAGATGTCCAAGTAGTCGTGTACAAGCAGAGAGCACAAATGCACCGAGATTCCATCCAAATAAGAGAAATACAATGAAGTCATGAGCCAATCTTCAAGCCCTCAGGCCACACCAACACAGTATCCAATGTCTCTCCCCTCTGTCTGCCACCCAACGCCCAGCCTACACTACTCGCCTATCCTACCTACATCAGCATTCACGCAACAGGCTCACTTTGACTCTTGCAGACCAATGTACATGACGTCAACACCATAGCCAACCTCTCTCATGTACCAGGTGCGTATCTCGTCTCCCCTCATCAGACCCTGACCACCCACACTCGCCTCCTTCCTGAAGACCACCGATCGCCCTCTTACCCCCTAGCGCCCTGCTGCCCGGCTATGGCTGCTAGCGCTCCGCTGCCCAGCAGCGCCACTCTTCACCTCACAAGCGCCCGCACGCGCCCTGGCCGCTCGCACGCATGTGCCGTCTCGCGCGGCAACGCAGCAGGGCCCCTCTTCACCTCACAAGCGCCCGAAAGCGCCGTCTCGCGCAGCAACACAGCAGGGTGACCGCATTGCCTGTGTGGGCCAGAATGCCCAACCCTGGCTGCTCTCCTTCCTATATGGAAGTGGCAGCCTCTGCTTGGCTGCGTGTGGCCTGGCTGGGAAGCTTCCAGTAGCTTCCGTTCGGGCCCCAGTACCTGCTCCCAGGCACAGTGCTACAGTTGAGGGCCTGGGCCCTTTACAGTTGGACACGGCCTGAGTCTCCAGACTTGGGCCGTTTGCTGCCTTTGTACAGGACCCGGGGTATGTACGTCGACAGTGCTGCTTTTGCGTAGGCCTGTAGCACTTTGTGGTGTATCAGCCCTGCATTGTGTGTATGTGCCCAGGCGCAACTGTCATGGCCGGGGCCAAACTGTACGACGCAGCTTACGGAGGCTCACGTGTCCACTCAACCAACTGGCGGGCTGCAACAGCCTGAGTACCCACGTATGAAAAATGTCGAACTTGGCCTCTAGTGAATATTCAGGCCCGCCTTCACTTAGGGCGGTCACTTGGCTTGATGGGGGCCTCTGCCCAGAACATGTGCATGTCTGATACGGGTCCCACGAGGGCTCATTCCTCACAATTATGGCCTAAGGAGCCTTTGATCAGCATTGTTTGCTCACTGCATGGAGGATTGACTGTCAGGTTAGTCTTTCCCTTTACTGGACCCTTTGATTCCTGCACTGTTCCTGAAGCAACCATCTTCCTCCTTTACTTCCTTTCTCTGCAGCTCCAAAACAGGGCCTTAGGGATGAGTTGCCAACCACCAGAGTTACTTCTCGGGAGTTATTTTTTCATTCCTTGAATATCTTCTCCTACCCCTCGTCCCTCCCCCTTGTTTGCTTCCCTCATCATTTTGATTCTTAGAATTGATCATCTTCCCTGAAAGGCAAACGGAGGGCTTCTTTGAACAATGGCTATGAAGAGAGTTGCACCTGGTTTGCCCTCTGTCGAAGGGTGCCAGATGAAACTCAAGCGGAAGAATCACCTGATGAAATCAAGCAGAAGAATCACCACAGGAACTCGAGCCGAAGAATTACCAGATGAAATCAAACAGAAGCATCACCAACTGAAATCAAGGAGAAGAATCACCCGTGTTCCACTAGGGTTCCAAGAAGCACCCGAGTTCACCTCCACCGGGCAGAAAGGGAAACCTACTGTGGAATGAATGGTAATCAAATTAACAATGGGAGTCTCCGCTGTGGTACCTGCGTCGTGACTGAATGGAACACAGTACTACACATATTACTGATGATAAACAGATCATGGGTGCCAATCATGGAGACAATGACATTAGGTGCTACTCCTGAAGAGGGCCGCTTGTCTCCATTATATTTGTCTGAACACTCCAGTGGCTAGTGCTTGGATAGAAGGTCCAAATCACATGAGCATTTGTATAGTGACTGACAGTCATGTGAAGAACACATACTCTACACTGCCAGGTCACAAACATGGCAAGGACTGACAATCGCACCCACCAACAGGCCTTGAATCAGTGGGTGACTATTGAAGAATTGTTCAGCAACATTGGCCTTCGAATAAGAGGTCCATTTTTGTTCACCTGTACTTGGCCCAGCCGGACTCTGTTCACCCACCCTGCTCTTTGCTTTTTATTTCTGTACCCGCCATGCCCAAACTCATTTATTTGTACCCATATGTAGCATACCAAACACCCCCTCAGCTGTACTCGCCACTGTAAAATGGTGAATGTATCCTTTGATTATTTTCAAATGCACCCAAAGTGTGAAGACGCAGAGGCAGAGCAGCGAGGCTGGGATAGAGAGGGAGAGTGAGATCACACACACACACACACACTCACTCAACTCGACGCAGACTCCACACGACTCGACGGACACAGACACAAAGTGGCAAAAGTCGCAAAGTCGCAGTCTTGAATTCCCGAACAGAATGTCGAAGCAAAGTCGCACTGAACACAAGCACTGAGGCTGAAAACTTGGTGTCGTACTGTCCTTGAGTCCGTACTCAAGTATCGGACTCAAGTACGGTCCTGAGGGCGAAAGTGAAAATGCCTAAGGGCCAGAACTGAAAATCGACAGTCTGAGAGTGGGCGCCAGAATGCCGGATGGCGCCAAGTGTCCGGAATCCAGAAGTCCAAAAAGAAGGAATTCAAAAATGGGCGCCAGAATGCTGATGGCGCCAACTGTCTGAAATCGGAAAAGCAAAACAAAGTAAAACAAAACAAAAGAATTGCAAAAAAATAAAAATAAAAATAAAAAAATACAGCAAGCTGGCGGATGGTAATCCGCAGACCAGGGATCGAGCCCTGCGGAGTCTGTAACACAAAGAGACAGTTGGTGAGTGGAGGAGCGAGGCCCTTATGCAACTTTTGGCCCGTTGCAGAGGGGAATTACCGGGCTGGACAGCTTATATGAGGAAACATCTGCATCAGGGAACCCCCCCCCCCCGCCCCAAAAGTAAAGATGTGGCCAAAAGAAAGGTAGTGCCAACCAGGCACAAAGTAATACAACATATGTGGGGGACAGCGGGAGAGGGGAGGGCGTCTCCATGGGGGTCTGGGTGACCCGGACCACCCGGTGGCTACCCGGTCCACCCTCGTAGCTGTACCAGCCCATACCCAACCAGCCATATTAAAACATACTGGGACCTGCCTGTCAGCCAGCAGGTACAGCTGGGTGCGCAAAGGTAAAACCATGGCCAGACGGCTGGCCATGGTTGTACCTGCCTGCACCCAACCGTACCTGCTGTGTGACAGGCAGGTCCCGGTATGTTTTGATATGGTTGCTGGGGTATGGACCGGTATGAGGGTGGACCGGGTGGCCGGCGAGTGAGGGTTTGGTCGGGGTCACCTGGGGCCCCATGGAGACACCCCCACCCCCTCCCCCCCTGTCCACCACAGCTATTGTATTACTTCTTTCCTGGTTGGCACTCACCTTCAATGGGCAGGTTCTGACAGAGCCATATGCACGACTTTGTGCATCGTGCATGTTGTGATTGATTGGTGTATGCTATTATCAAAGCCACTGAACAATAGTGTAAAAGGGGAAGGGATGCGAATGATTGAGATGGAGTACCTTTTCAGAGCTTCTCTGGTGCACAGGGTAAGCCCACCAACCATAAGCACAAGTGCCTGGATGCAAATACCATCAACTTCGGCATTCAAACCTCCGTCTACCTCAGCTCCACCACCAGTTTTTCCTGCATTATCCTTACTTTTGGCCTTTCCTTCCTCCTCCTGCTCTGCCCCACTGGTCAGCAGCAATAACCTATCTGCGTCAATAGGGCGCAGAGTTGGCTCTGAGAACAGCCTGCTTGTCATCCCATTATCAGCAACCTTGTATCCTGACCCACTTGCAGCTACCCCATCAGTGTTTGCAGCCTCATTCAGGCTGCCTGTGGCACTCCTGTGGATTGGGCTACTGCCAACTCCCCTCTCACTGATTGCAGGATCCCTGGCAGGCATTCTAAAGGGAGCACACAGCATGGAAGAAAATTTCCTGCGACCACTCTCCCCTTTTCGGAACTCCCCTGAACCCTCTGAGCTGCACGATGGTAAGACTAGCTGTAGGTCCCCCATAACCAAATTAAATTGGAATGGTGAACTGTGTGGTGGCTGCCTTGGTTGGAAGTCTTTTGTCACCCGTCTGGCTGCTGCCGATCTCATAAAACTTCCTCTCAAGTCATCAACACCTTGTTGCCGTCCATCACCCAAGTCCTGCTGATGGTCTTTCCCCAACGGATGAGGTCGTAGATGGCAAAAAGCATCCTGCAGCATAGCAGCGTGGAGGAAAACTATGAGCAAAGTAAAACAAGAGCTCCAGCTGCGCCACCCAGGACTGCATGTTAACCACCACCATCTGAAACTTTGATTATGCAATGAACCCAGATCGTGAAGACACTTGTCAACAATGCAAGCCCCAGATGAATATCAAACTGCTGATGATTACCAATAATCAGAACCGTGTCCAGATAGAATGAGATGGGATAATCATACGCAGATGAAGGAGAGAGGAGGGAGATTAGACAAAGGAGAGGAAATAAATACAAGGCCCAATCCTACTTCGGGCTCCCTCCTTGATCACCACCTCAATAATCAATAGTCTGAACGAGTATCTGAAGTAACCTCAATGTGCCATGTGGCACGTCTCATTAGTCCCTCATCAGCGCTGGAGCAATCTCGACACGAAGACAATCAGGTAAGTATCCACGATCTCTCTCCACAGTCCTGATCTCCTCCCGAGTGACGATGAATAAGAACAGCGGTGTCGGTCACGTGGCCCAGCCACGTCAGCAGATATAACAGGTGGCAGCGGCCACATCAGCAGCAACACGTGGCAGCTGCCACGTCAGCATGCCAAGAAGACAGGTGCAAGCCAGCCACCATGCCGGACCAGCAGCGCGTCGCCGTAGACACAATGCCGGCACAAAGCCAGTGCTCAACCAGCATCACAGCGTCGAGCCAGAGTCGTCGTCAACGCGTGAAGTCAGCATCGACGTAAGACTGAATGAATGTCAAAGCCAGGAAGTCAGCGCTTATGTACGCCGGGTCTGGACCCCGGATGCTGCATCCCTCAACCGTCCAGATCTCAATGCAAACGAGGGCCCAGATTGGTCTGAAACCGAATTCCCTCCGGTCTGGATGCTGTCTGGGTACCTGCGCACAACAAGTGAGTGTATCCAACCAAGGGCCTGGGTGCGGTACCTTTGACTCTACAGTTGACTTTGACCCTTGAATTTCCTGTGTGCAGCGTTCGGTCACACAGCCATACGCGACGGACTCAGGCCTGGGCGTGTCCTGGTCACACAGCCCAGCGCAGACCATCTCAGGTCTGCGTTGCCTGGGGTTGAGTTCTGGGCCCCAGGCTACTTCTGAACAGGGTTACTACAATTATAAAAACAGAAACGAAAAAAAAAAAAAAAAAGAGAGAGAGAAGCTGGATGTTGCATAAAGCACATAAAACATGAACACAACCATCCAACGGTATACTGTACAAAAGGACATAAGATGTATAAACCTTGACCAATTTTAAGCACAGCGGAAACAGTCCATAAATCGGACTGAAATTTTTCTTTTTTTAAGACCATTTCTCGACTTATGAGTGTGATCCTTGCAAAGGGGCCATGCTAATGTGTGAAACAGAGAAGATTTCGGATGGAAGCTGTGCACAGTGGTATCCACGAATTTAGACAAGCTCCGAGGCAGTTATTTACTCCATTCCCTTGAAATTGCCATGAAGGCGAATGGCCGATAGCTCAGTGGATAGCGCACCGGTTGGAAATGTGCATTGTGGTCTAAGGTTGTGGGTTCAAAACCCCGCAGCCTCGCACATGGACTCCAGCAGATGTTGACCAATGTACGGCCATTCACACACTCGCTTTGGGTTGATGCATGGTAAGGACTACAGACACTGCCTGCGCACCACCCAAGGGGTTACACCCGTTGTATTGTATGCCTATAACAGACTGGTGGGAGGGATGCTTGGGGGATCTTGGCACTTGGGTTATTCTGATGATCACTGTTGGGTTCGGGTATGCTTGTCATGGGAATTACAGGGGTGCTTGGAGGGTTGCACAAAACATTTCCTGATTGTGCAAAGGTACCAAGCAGCCATTGTAGGAAAAATACACACTCAACACACTCGCCTGTACATAAAAATAATAAAGGGGAGCGTTGCTCCCTGTGTCAGGGAGGGATTTGGGGGGTTAGGTGGGGTCTTCCACCCAAGCATTGGCTAGGGGTCTCTGATTGGGTCTGGGTACCGTTGGGGTTTCCCAGTGGTAAGGGTATCGTTGAGCCAGCCAAGTTGTAAGAGGAGTGTGGTCACACCTAGTCCCCCGACTCCCTCACACCCACCATAAATAGGTGATACTTTTAGCCTGTAGGAGTATTAGAGTTCGAAGGGCATTGAAGTTAGCTGGGGACCACTTATTATACCCTACGACTGTGCTATAGAGGGGGATTCCAGATCTTACAATATCCTGGAGATGGGCCTCATGGGAGGGAGGGCTTGAATAAGTAATCAAGTCTAGGTGACCACTGTAGGGGACTCTAAGCAGGTCCAAGGGCCCAGTACAGCGAAGGGCGGACCATGATGATTGCCAGTCAGTCACAGGGGGTTAAGCCTTAGGAGTACAATGGCTGGGGTCTATGCTCCCTCCAAGGTGGCAAACACAGGGCTTAGATGAGACAACCTAGTCATGTGCGAATGGACTGGTGTTTCACTGGTGTTTTAAAAAAACAAACAAAAAAAAAAAGGAAAAGAAAGAAAAAAGAGAAGAAACTTCCATCAAGGCAATCCACACCTCTAGGTAAGACAATATTTGCACCATCAGATTTATCCTTCTGAACAGCAGGGGGAATCTGAGGGACTCATGGGAAGCAGCTCAATTAGAAGACCGCAAATGTTACAGGTAGCATTTCAATATATGATGATTTACTCCGCAGACAGATAACAGATCTTACCCTCTGAAGAAACTGAAGGAACTGCAAGAGCCATTCCTCTGAATAAATGGCATCAATTGGAGCCAGTCTGATACGAAGCTGCTTCTGTTCTTTGCCATTTTTCTCGGACGACGAAACAAGCTTGCAATCAAGAAAAGGCTCATGGCTCCCAGCTGGCTTCATCCTGCCAGGGCTGCAACCAGTCACAATGGGAGTTCGCGGTTGTTACAGCATGAACACATGAGGTGCTGAAAGAATTAGTTATGACAAAGTTCCATGGAATCCAATCCAATATAACATTGATTTTTGTACTTCTGATGCATGCCTTTTGCGTAGATAGCTGGTGCGGAGACCCAAGAATCACCAACAAGAACAAAGAACTCAAAGATACAGCAATGTAATCAATATGACGCAATTTAGAGCAGCGGAAGACTGTACATAGAGATGTGATACATCAGACTCGTGACTCTGCACATGTGTGATGACCTGACCAAACACGGACTGAGACACACAGCTGATTCCGGAGTTTTGCCTATGGACTGAATGCCTTGCTGAGTTTCCCGCTTGCTACTAAGTTCTCTAAGCCTGTGTGTGTGCACGTTTGCTGGTCTGCATGTCTGTCTGAGTGCTTGATGGCTTGAATGAGTGTGTGACCCGCAAGGGCACTTGTTCGTTCGTTGGGCCCTCAGGGCTGGTACTTACCTGTGGCCGTGACATTGAGGATTGCAGCAGGGAAAACACTCAAGTGGCGGGGGAAGAGGCCCGCAACACTTGAAGCAGAGGGGAAACACTCAAGTAGCAGGTAGCCGGTACCACACCCTGAAGAGGTAGGTGTGCCGGGTACTCGAGGCCGAGCAGAAGAAGACAAAAGTGGCATTTTTAGAGGCCCAGTAGTTGTAGGATAGAGTCTAGGGCCTGTACGGGCAATATCAGAGTCTGCAATGATGTTTCCCTCCGAAAGGGAGGAGGTACCGGTTGCTTGGAAGGCCGAGCGGCCTGAATGTCACCGCCCAAGAGGCAAGCAGGCCGCTATATCTCCAGGCCGGGCAAAGAGCCCAGCCTCATTGTCGGTGTGCAAGTTTGGCGACACACTGGTTGGAGCACTGGCTGGAGCAGCGCTAGCATTCAGCAGCGCTGCTGGGGAAGGAGCAAGGACACGGAGGAGGAAGAAGGCCAGGAGTAGGGAGGAGTGCCAGAGGTACTTACCTGGCTATGGTGGCAGCCATCTTCATCACCTTGGTGGGCGCTGCAGCAAGAGGCCCCAGCTGGGGGTAGAGCTACACCAAGAAGCTTCGAGGCAGAGCTGGGCATGACGGCCTGAGCTAGAGCAGCCATAGCTGCTTTGCGTTGTCCTTTGGACATCAGGGCCAGGCCCGAGTAGTCCGCCATAGCCTCAGCCTATGAGAGTGAAGAGTGAGGGAGGCGGCCATGACTATAGTGGACCTCAAGTGATACCTGCAGTAGAAGAGGGATTCGGACTTTGATTCTGGTTCAGCCATTCAACATTGTATTATTATTTCTTGTGTGAATAAGAGAGGAGGAGATAAGGAGGCGGAGAGTGATTGGCGAAGAAGAAGAGCTTTCTCATTTGTCTATGCTGCTGTACATCATCTTCTTCTTCTCCTAACAATCTCTCTCCTATCAAGTTCATTCATTTCTTTTTGCAAGTGGCAGGCATTGTACTATCTGATGAATGTGTATCTCGAAATTGGCCAGGATCATAACACATGCATACATCATCAATCAGGACAAGATGCAAGGAGAGGGAGGACGAGATGCAAGAAGAGGACAAGCATAGACATAAGATCCCTCCTTGCTCATACATGGTCAACAGAACCATGGATATGGAGATGGGATATGGGACGCATGTGAAAGGAGAAGACAAAGGGAGGACCAGGGGCACAGCCTTCTTTTTGGCCACGTGGAGGCCCAAGTAGGTGGATTTGAGCTTGGCGGTGTTCTCAGTATTTATTTATTCTGAAAAGATCCTGCTGTGACTGGAAAAGATCTTGTTTTCCTGCCTTTATTCCTAAAAACTTTAAGCACGCATCACAGTCAAGGTCCACACCAAGCCAGAAGGATTCGCACGGTATGAGCACACTCAGAACTTATTTACAACTTGAAATGACGTACACAGGTTTCTCAAGATCTGCGGCAACAGCCGCCAACAAAGACAACAGTCTCTCTCTCTCTCT